CAAATGCATATAGGTATCCCTCAATTACTTGGAATTAGTCAAGAAAGGGAAGATTTCAAAGAATCAATTTGCCACTCAAGTGATCTCTACAGGACAAGAAAATGATAATCTACAATAATTTAGTGAGGAACAAAAAAATGTGTGTTATGCTGTAAGTTTGAATTGAAAATTCTTAAGGCAATATTTTTACATGGAAGTTCTTCCTTAAAATTTCCTTACACACACCTTGGCTGAAGGTCTGTCCGGACACTCCCAGGTCACTGCACTGGACAGCTGGGCTGTCACGGTGGCTGCTCCTCACCCCTCCCAGGTCCCTGTCAACCTGGGCCCAGCCTTAGGGCTCTTTCAGGGACATGAGTGAGTGACTCTATTAACTTTAATATTTCAACCTCCTGTCAGCGCTCCAGTTTACTGGAGTCTCTTAATTGACATTTACTTAGTTATTTGAAAGCTTCAATTTGGGTGTACTTTCATGTTTTTCTTTGTTTTAGGACCAGGGTCTGGCATCAAATGATTTTGCCTCTTTCTAGATTGTAACTCAGGCAAGTGGCACAGCCTGTCTCACAAAACAGTGAGCGCGATGACTCCCGTTTCCTGTGGCTGCTGGGACTGAGCGAAATGGCGCGCAGACGTCTTTCCGAAAACCATGTGAGCTGGATCAGTGTTCACTGTGTTTGAGGTAAGAAGAGAATCTCATTTTTGAAACCATCGTATTAATGAGATCTCAAGGACTTCACCTCCGTCCTCGCGCTGCCGCCTCCCCCCCGGCAGGCGGGGCACACAGGAAGTTCACAAGGGTAAGTTTTCCCACAAGGCGGGACGTGCTCAGTCGCACACGTGGCCTGTGGCTGACAACGTGCAGAGTTCCCAAGTTTGTGATTTACTTTAAGAAATACGCACAAGTAGTACTCAAGACTGCGCTAGTAAAAATGCTAACCTCCGTCTCCTTTGCCCTCCCATGAGCTCAGCCAAAGGACAGATGGTTGATGTCCCTGGAACTTTGGTCTCCTCTGTAAAGGCTGCAGCTGCCGCTCAGCCACAGGGCAGGGAGGAAGGGGCCTGCCACCAGGGGGGTTTCCAAAGATTCTAACCAATCACGATCAACTTAAATAATGAAAAAATAAAGATAGAGGGAAATAGAGAAGGGAAGAAAGGAGAGAGAAAAGCAAGAGAGAAAGACTAGGGAGAAAGAGGGAAAAAAGAGAGAATAAGAAAGACCCAAACAGAAATTATTACCCTTCTGTAAAATTACTGCAGAAAGTCAAACAGCATAAAGCTAGATTCACTTAAATGTGTTTCGTTCCCAGCATTTTATTTTACATTAATTACTTGTTCTTAGTAAGCACCTGGTTTATGTAAAGATCTGTCATTCTTTTCTAAGAAGTGCTGTTTTTTTCTATTTAATTGAATATATGTATTCCTCAGAGATTATTCCACCTCATTGGTCATATGTAACAATATTATAGATTTTTATATAGCTACATAGATACATATATACATATTATGCACAAAAATGTACGAGTTAGTATAGAGAGAAAAGGGTAAAGCCCTATTGGTTATAATATGTAATGTTGATGGATTAGAACTATTTTTCTTGTCATAAAATGTTATATTATTCTTGCCTTCTATATGCCTAAAATTTTCGTGACTTTTTTTTCTTATTATGAAAACAGAAACAAAACTAATCCTTTTCAGCATTAAACAAACATACCTGAAAGCTGCAGAAGACTTTTCGGTTAGGGATTGTTTATAAAGCTGTCTTAGAGCCAGAAAGATACCCCTGGGCAATGTGCCCCAGATAGCAGAGTCTCCTGCAGACCTGCAGCTTCAGGACCACACCCAGTGAGGACCTGACTGGCCCAGTTAAATTCCATTCAAAAATAAAAAACAAGCAAGAAATAGAATAAGAAATAGACAAGAGTAGAAGAGCTAAATTAAACATTGATGGAAGATTTAAACCCAAATATTCTGATTAATTATAAATGTCCTGAAATTTAAAAAACAAAGAATAAAAATAATTTCTAGAACTAGGAATATGGCATAGAAGCTTTGGTGTGAGAAGGAGTTTGTGTTGAAAGCTATTTTCTCCAAGTAATCACTGCATGCATGATTATAACATGCTGGATATTTCAAGCCTCAGTATCCTCATCTGTGTAACAGGCTTTTTTCTTGCAATGAACTGCAAAAAGTTCATTGCCAATATTAAGAGAGAATACAAATAAAGCACTTATCATGTTACTGCATAGAAAGATATTTTACATGTTGCTCTCACTGTTATTATTTCCATGGGTTTAAGCTAAATACCTGTGACCTGAAATAAATAATTTTGACATTATAACATTCAATCCCTAGCAATTAACAAAGATTAAAGACTTATTCTGAGGTTCTTATTGCATTCCAAAGCAATTAAGTAATCTTAGGGAGAGTTGTTCTGTTTATTTACTCAGGTGTGAAAATTTGAGACCTGAGTATACATGGATATGTTGCAATGACTTTGATTAATGAATTTTAAGCAAAAGTAGAAGATCAATTCAAATTGTAAATTGAAAAGACTTACAAGTCTCATTTATCATTCTACATCTACAAAGTCTTGCACAAAAAATGACTTACTCTATCATGTTGGTACTTTTATGTCTTACCTGGTCTCTTGAATGTGAGTGTTCATGTCCCTGGCATCAGTAAGAATACTGTGTTTCAGCTAAAACAAACTTAAATAGTCATTCTAAGTCTGAAGAGGGTAATTAGATTAGAAACATGATATGCCAAAGTAGAAGGTGAGAACATGTTTATAAACCTCCATCACGTTCCCACGAACACATTGTTAAGAAAGATTAGCCTCACATCTTAAGAATGCTTTTATCATGAGCATTAATTTACAGGCAAAATAAGATGGAACAGGTGATTCTGTTCCAGGCGGGATTGCCAGGTGGGAGAAGCTTGGCTGGTGGATAACCTCTCAAAGATGAACCCAAGGCTGAAGATTAGTTGATAAAAACAGAAGTGGTGGGCTAAGATCGCAAACATACACTGTGACTAAGGGATGGTCCCCATGGGTTCTGCCATGACGCGAGCTGGGCTGCTGTACGTGTTGCTGGCCACTGCTGGCCTGCTGCATGCGTGAGGCCATGAGGAAGTTTTTCAATCTTGACACCTTCATTGCTTCCTGACATTTTCATTTCTTTCTCCTCTTTCTTCATTGTTGTTAAGATCCAGCTGTAGTCCTCTGATGTTGCTCTTTCACTTTTATCTTCACAGAGCACGTGCAGGTTACCTGTATTTGTAGCTAAGCTTGTTTTTCCTGAAGGCTGGGTCTTCTACATCCAAGAAGATGAACATCTGATTTTAAATTTGGGGCACAATAGTTAATGGACTCCGAGAAGATAAAGACTTTCTCACTGTTAAAATAGGCTCAGCAGCTCTTGGCATACTCACTTTATTATCTCACTTCTTCATGCACACACTAATCTACCCATTTGTATTCTGATTGATATAGAAGAACTTTACAACTACTTTAGAGTAGACATTTGTAGAATAAAAGCCAGTATGTCCATAGCTGTCACTACACGGGAACCTCAGCTCCTCCTCTTTCCAACATTCATGGAACTCACTTTGTACATTGTCCTTACTCATCTTTAGATGATTTTTAACAGCATTTGAGATTTTCATTCATTACCTCGCAAACATCTCTACACCTTACACAATGTTAACATAGAATATTCCCATCTCTACACTACACATAGAACAATGTTCAATTCTTTAGATATTCTTTGAATCTTGGTTTTAGTCTTTTGTTAAGATAAATGAAAGCACAGAAATCAATTTGTGGATGTTTATGAGAAGCTAAAGCCTCACACTTAATAACAACCAGGAAGGGAGGTAGTGATGTGAGATTGACTAATGGGGAACAGACAAGCAGTCAGAAGAAATGAGACCTGGTGTCTGACACGTGTGCAGGGCAATGGCAGCTTACGAGGATCCACTGTGCATTTCAAAAGAGCTTCAAGAAAGTAATTCACATGTTCTTAGCATGAAGAAAATATAAAGATTAAATATGATGGATATTCCAATTACATTAACACAATGTAGCAAAATACTACAGGTACCCTGAAAATATGTACATTTTTTATATATCAATAAAAGACTTAATAACAGAAATACAACTTATCAAAAGTGGGAAACATTCCACCACTATCTGATTATCATTGAGTTTAGGTCTGTGTTTTTGACATGTATCATGATAATGAAGTAAAATATTAAATGCATAGTATCTAAGACTATGCATAAAGTCTGAGCTGTAACTGAATTATGAAATAGATACCTGGGAAGATAATCATGTTTACAACACGTAAGGACGTTACCTGACTTTAAATCATCTCATAGTTGATAATTTCAGTAATATGCAGAGACATAACAGACAACCTGCACGCAATGGGAGAGCAGAAAACAAAGAAATGTATATGGGAAATGTATATGAATTATCAAATAAAGATGATAAAGCCTCACAGTATTTTTATCCATTTATTAGCATTGACCTTTATTAATCAATAATCAGAGATTGTTCGTATACATGTATATTCTTGAATGTGCACACACAATAGTTGACATTATTAATAGCCTGTAGAAATAATGTACAGCCTGCATTATTCTAGGCTGTAGAATCTCTTTTAGAATTCTCCACACACTACTGAAATTTCTAGGCAATTTCTATTTTTAATGTAATGTTTACATGAGGACCAGTCCTATTTTTAAACTAATGCATTTGTCACTGTATTTTATCCATAAAAGCACTTAGTATCTTCAAGTTCATGAAATTAAAAGATAGCAGCCTGCTGTTCTGAATTAGAATGTCTTCTAGTTTCTTTCCTGCTATCAAGTGATAGTGCTGTATAGTACATAGATGTATAGAATTGAAAAAGAATAGGCATGGGAAATCAAAGAGGTGACACCTAGTTCTGTTTTTTCAAACTCAAATAATAAAATAAAATTGTTGTCATACGTACCTAATGCTTCACTGTAGTAGGAATCCCATAGCTTCCAAAGTCTTTCAAACATGTAGTCCTGGAGATGGTAGGAGATGAAATTTCTTATTCTGTCAGTGAAGGACATCTGGTCAGTGAGCTCTGACAAGACAGCGGGGACGTAGGAGGGGGGGTAGGGCACCTTCCCGCAGTGCTTCTCCACAGTGGAGGCTGGGGAGAACCTCAGGGAGTACATGAACGGGATCCCTAGTTTCAAAGCTACTATGTCACCACAAGGAAACACTGGATCCGATAACAGGACCTCAAATTTGCTGCTCTCCAGCTTCTCCATCAGCTTTCTGTTTTTGAGGACACCATCACAGATCTCTCTGCACACCATGTGGAAGTCCTGGATGACTTTGGCCATCTCGTGATAAAATCTCCAGATGGTTGAAGGAGAGGGTCTGTTTTCCAGCCATGTCAAAATGAAGTTCTTGATCACTCCCTCTATTTTTTCTTTGCCGAAGGGCACCTCATATATTTCAAATGTGAGAGAGGGTTGAGAGATCGGCGCAATGAACAGTGCCCCCGAGGCCATCAGGACAGTCACATTGTGGTCTTTCCTGAGCAGCTCATCTATGATCATCCTAATATTGAGCCAGTGGCTGCCTTCCATCGGCCAAATGAGAACATTCCCACCGAAAGCAGCTCCTAGGAGACTCATCTGAAGAGCCAGCAGCAGAACCTTCTTTAACATGCTGTGGGTTAATGCAGAAGTTTGATGGGATGTGAAGCAAATGGCTCCCTCTGCCTTTCAAGCAAAAACAAGGAGAAAAAAATATTTGTCAGCTTTGGTGCAAACCTTTGGTACCCTTTAACAGCTTTCTCTCTGCCAAATCGTGCTAGTCCTAATTGTCCACAGTCTAGGGTAATTACAGCTTTAAGGGTAATAAGTCCTGCCTCTCACCCTGTTACCTTCCTCTGGCTCCAATTCCTGCTCTCTGTTCCTTCTCCCAGACTTATTCCTTCACTTCTTTATGTTCCCTAATTGTGAATGTTTTACCATTAAATCACATGAAATCACTGTGTATTTCAGCTCTACACACAGGTATAGGTAATGAGATCCCAAATACCACAAAACTTATTCAGAAACCTAAGAATCTTAATTCTGTAAGTTTGGCAATATTTAATACATTCATATAATTCACTTACTAACAATTACATATTACAATTATCAAGAGATAAGATTATTCAAATGACATTTATAAAAATGTGAACTATTAAGACTTACAATGAGTACAATACATATTTATTGCTAAATTAGTAATAGGTTTAGGGAAGCATTTATGTTAATGACTGAGAAAAACATAAATAAATAAAACACGTGCAAGTAACATACACAAAGATTACGGGCAATGCTCTTAGTGAACAGGGGCTGTTTGAAAGAGAATTACTAATTTAAGCATTTGTCTACCAAACATGCTGCTCAGAGCCCAGCCAGCCTGCGTGAGTGACATCTGCTCTGTGTCAGGACTCAGACTTTAGTGATGACTTTAACATGTATTAATCTCTTGGTTGTGTAAGACATTGTGTAGTGTTTTACAGGTATTAATCTCATTTATTTCTCATTTTTTTAAAATGAGAAATAGTACCACTTGGGAAAGTATTATAATAATTCCCATGTCAGTGAAGAAGGAGCCACCACCACTGTGTGACTTGCCAGTCCACCTTATGAAACCAAGAGGTGCTGGTGGAAGCCGTTTCAAGGTCCTTTGTCCCCCAGGGGCTGCTGTACCGTCCACAGAATCGACTGTCCCTTCAGAGAGTATTGTGTCTCCTTAGCACCTACCATGGATCTTCATGAAGAACTGCAGACTGCCCACAACATGCTGACACAGAATGAAGTGTGTCACACCTGGGATGGGACAGCATTGAACAATCCCAGTAAAATGATTTCTATGAAATTGTGCTCGCGTAAACCTACGTCTGTGAATGAGCAGAGTGACTCTTTTTTATGATTAAATCTCTTGAGATTAGTTACAAATTCTGTGCTTTTTAGTGAGATCATAAATTGTCTCCTCTGAGGTCTCCTGTCATCAATGGTAATCTGCAGTGCAGTGCTGGCTATTTGATTAAAACCATTCAGAGAGTCTTTAAAGCTTGTGGAGTGATCACACCATTGGTGTGGATGGATTTCAGGCCTCTCGGGAGAAGATTTTACGTTATGCACAATGTTTCTGCCTGCTGCTGTCAGCCTGATCCTTAGCGGCTTGGCGGGAACTTGAATAATTTGTCAGGGTCTACTAAGATAGACAATTGATTAAAATTCACTCATATCACTTTACTCATTTTCTTTACTAGCCAAGACTTAGATCTGGTTTTAGATGATTAAAGTGCAGTCCTTTGTTCAGGTACCATGTGTTCACTGGGTTGGCTCTGCACACAGTACCCCCTACTAGCTGAGAGATGGATCCAAGACTTTCTCACCTTCATTTTAAAATCTATCAGTGGAGCACAAGACAAGTACACAGTAATTGTAATAAAGATCAGCATCATATTTTAGAATCAGCATAATGACATGGAAATAATTCACATTATGGAATCAATTAGGCCAAAGAATTCACGCTTAACCTTATGCCACTTAACATTCAATAGACTCGATTTTCTCATTTGTAAAATGGAAATCAAAAGCCACTTAGCAGGATTTTGTGAGTATAAAGTAATGCAATTAAAGAAGCAACACAATATTTATCATATATTAAAAATGAATAGATAATAAATATCATAAAACATTATGTAATGATACATAGAATATGTAATATTTAAATAAATGAAGTTATATTTATTAAGCAACAAGTATTAAAAGAGATGTTTAAAATTTATCTTTCTTTCTTTCTTTCTTTCTTTTTTTTTTGCAGATATGGCCAGGGCTATGTTTGAACCCAACACCTCTGGCATATAGGGTTGGCACCCTACTCCTTGGATTCACAGGTGCCGCCCTCTTTTTTTTTTTTTTTTTGAATTATTGTAAATTTAGAGATAAAATAAACCTGACAGGTCACTTGTTCATATAGCATGAATGGCTTTTTGTTCACACTGACAAGCATAGGTACTTTAATCACCAAAGACTATATCAAGTATTTATAAAAATAAATTCTTTTTGAAGATTATGTCAACTTAATCAGGATTAAAAAGAAATAAAACTTTTATCCTGATCATCCTTGAATGAAATAACTTCATTTTTAATATCTTACTTAATCAGAAAATACACAGAAGGAAACAATAATATAGAGAGAGCTTGATGTCCTGTGGTCTTCCTTAACAACAACCCATTTTCAAGAGACTATAATCTACTCAACAGAAAGCATTCTACCAAGCATTTTAATCAGATTCTGAGAAAATTCACACTCAAAATAAACAATATTCCACTAAAATCTAAATCTTGCCTATGTAATCCCTCCTCCTACCTAGACAAAGTAACAAGTATCCTCAGGTTAAATGACAAGGTAAAATGTTTCAGAGGGCTGTAGAGACTACATCCAGCTTTTAGGGGGAAGTAGGATGGGGGCAGAGACCTGGAGAGTCCTCATGAGAAACACGCCCCGTGGAACTCCTCCTGGAGTGTGGAGGAGCCGTGGTAGGAGCAGTGACGTGCCCCAATTATCAGAATTTCTACACATCGCAGAAATGTGACCAGTATTAAGAAATTGTTCAAGTTTTGGGGGGTTCAGTTTTAAATCTAAGTGTATTTTTGAACTTAAGAGTAAACTAAATGAAGAAACTATATTGAAAATAAAAAAGCCTTAAAGAACTTGTCAATAAATGAAGACTAGAACTTTTGATTTTAACTAATTTGCTCTTTTCCAGAAAATTTTTGAAACATACCATAACTAAAATTTGATTAACAAATCTGTAAAATCTAATAAATTCAGAGTAAAAGCTAATTTTTGAAAAGAAACTAACATATTGAAATATTTTCATCATAGGCAACGATAATGAAAAATATACTTTGTTAATTGCACACAAGGATACCAAGCATGGTATTTATATTACCAAAGTTGGTTATTGCTTTTTCAATAAACTTTTCTATAAACAAATTTTGTTTCCTTTCTCTTTTTTAATAAATGGATTAGATTTTGCATAAAATTTATTTAATACGTATTTAAGGCACACACATTTTAAAATCTATGACACAATATTAGGAAAATAAGATACCCACCAAAGGAAGACCTCTTCCATCCTCTTACACGTATATAATTTTAAACACCATAGTGGTCGTTTGTAAGAACCATTACTTTCTTCACTACACATTAGCATACATTTTATTGTGTGTCACTTTATGTGTCACCAAGTGAAGGGACAAATTCACTCTGCACTGGTAGGAACTAGAGGGATGAGAGAAAGCTTTAAAGAGGCTGGCGAGCTTGCACTTAGACAAAGCCCTCACTTTACTACTCTATCAAACAGTTCCATTCCTTCAATATCTATAAAATTACTCAGAAGTGTAAAACCTGAAGAACAAAACCCCTCAAATTATCTTAAAATAGAACTGAATTTTTTTTTCAGTTGGAAGTAATGAAACAAACCAAAAGTTAATCCACAACCATATAATGATCAAGATTTCTTTTAGAAGAAAATAAAAAATAAGTCCAAATGTACATTATATATTGATTATCATGAAGTTTTCAAGTTTCTTACCTGAAGTTTCCTACAGGTACTTTAATAGCACTAATTTGACACTGGAGAGATGCTGAACTTAAATAAATCCTAGCAGGGTAAGGGTAATACAATGAGTAATGATTTCTCATGTAAAGATTATTCAGATCTTTTTACACTCAGTGCTCTCCACCTGTTTCCTGAGCACACAGGTTAACCTTCCACTGTGCTTACTTTGGCAGCACTGGATACTAACATTGGAGTGGCACAGAGAAGATTAGCATGTCCCTCCAGCAAGGATGGCACGCAGATTAATCCCTTTTATTAAGGGTGGAGGCATCTATTGGTCCCAGGCAGCTATTTGCATTGACTTCTGCCTTTGGTGTTACAGAATTTATTCTTCCTCCACACCAGCCTCGTGTGTCTGGCTGTATTCAAAATAATGACTAAAACTGATTAAGAATAATGAGATGATTATTTGTAAGTATGTGAAATTAATATCCCTCAAACTTATGCAGCATAAATTTATGTAATTAATTATATAAAGTTTTGTTAAAAATTGGTATCTTAATTTTTATTTATTTTGCTGAACTTTATAATGATAGGAATGGGTAGTTTTATTGCTCTTTGCCATTTATTAAAAAGATATTAGTTTAGTTAAATAAGTATGTTTTAAAGTTGCACACCTTTATCATGCAATATCCTTCAGAAAGAAAACTATCATTGTATTTCTTTGTACAACTACTTTGAAGGAGAAAAAAGTAGGTTAGTATGTCTTTTGCATGGTGTCTGGATATGTTATATTTAGTGCCAACTACAACTGTGAGATACGTCAACACCATTCATTGTTTTAATTGACAAATGTGTTAACACATCCCCTGCACCTGTAAGTACAGACTGGTCCCCCAGAGACAGGCTGTGTGTGAGGATTCTGAAGAGGAGAAGATGGGAGTGGAGCCCCACACAGCTCTCTGAGCTCACATTAACTGGATTGCATGCACCTGGATAAAGACATCAGTTAAAAGAGTACAGGTTCAATCTAGATAAAAATGTCAGTGCATGTTTTATATAATAATTTGTCCATTTTTAAATTGCAAGTATAATTTACTTAG